GTATCGTCGATATTTTTTTTATTTTGAGCCTTTAAAAAATACTTAAAAAAAAATGAATATTCAAACAAAGTATTTAAAATAACATAATCGAAGAATAGTGAAATAATTATTTAAAAAACTTTTCAAACTTATTTATTCAAATACTAACGGTGTGTCATTACTACTACTACACACACACACACACACACACACACACACACACACACACACACACACACATATATATATATATATATATATATATATATATATATATATATATATATATATATATATATATATTACTGTGTCTTTAAAACCCAGTAATTTTAAAAGTTACTCCAAAATTGCTTGAGGATGAAATGGAACTAATGTCTTTAATTTAATTGCAAATTAAATTCGAGCTTCAGCTTCCATTTTTGAAACATGGTTAGAACTGTGAAAAAAAAACATATTTTAAATCAATTAATTTATAATATTAATGCTCTGTAAATTTACATTGAGCACTATTTTGTAAAAATAAAAATATCTATAAGAACACCGGATTATATATCTTACTGTTCTTTATATATATATGATGTGACAAGATTTTATACTTAAGAGGAATGCACGGCGAAGAGTGAGAGAGAAAGAATAGTGATCTCTCCTGCTCTTCACTGTCAAATTCTTTGCCTTGAGCAGAGAGGAACCCGGACGAGGCTTTGCCGAAGAGCAAAGTTTCGTCCGGGGAGGTAGACAGTTTCCGAACCCGCTTATGCGGGTTCAAAGGGGATATTTTTGGCCGAGCCTACAGTCACAGAGAACCCACAGTAAACTTGTCCTTGTGCCACATACATCCCTCGTGCTGTTAAAGAGAATCACTGATCTATACGTTTAAATTATCTGCATCCTGCTTATTCAATTTTTTTTTTTAAGTCAATTAAACTCTTCTCTTACTGAAAAGAAATTAATGTAAGAGAATCGGAAAGAAAAGATGTCTGGTCCGCGAGCTGAATGTCGTTGTTATTTGCTGTCGTGGCTCCAGGCAGCAATCGCTGACTTCAATATGAACGGCGTTACTACTTCCGGTAATGGAGTTTATGCGGAATCGTTTCCCCATCCAATTCAGACTGTGCTTGCACAGCTACGTCAATGTACAACGTTTGTTTGAAAGATCGTCTACTTTTGCGTCGCCGAATATATATATATATATATATATATATATATATATATATATATATATATATATATATATATATTATATATATATATATATAAGATCAAGTGACAATAGACTTGTCTTATGTAATTCGGCATATGTGTTTAATTGTGTTGTAGACGCGTGGTCATCTGCGTCTCTTTGCAAACACACTCTCACAAAAACCTAGCGTACTCATGTGTGTATATCTGCGAACAGGCTCCATAGAGATGAATATAAATTTCACTGAATTATTCTGCGTGCGAATCTATGTGACCGTATCAACAGATAAGAGGCAAATTACTCTCCTCTTTTCTTCTCTTTCACTCTTATTCACATCATTCACTGTCATTCATTACAGCGCGGCTTGTCCGGAATGGACTTCCGGGAGAAATGGTTCGATCCAGATTAAAGAAATTCACTCATAGCACGAGACAATTTTGATGATTGGCACCGACTAATAAAAGCTCAATTTTATGATAAGTAATTGACTTTTGATATCGTCTGTAGCACGTCCTTTTCTCGGCCAATCGTCAACGCAGGCGCTCTATGACCGTTTAGAGATTCCGGGCACGATCTCGCAAGTCGGGAGACTTCAACGTTATTAACGCTCCATCGGATCACTACAGAAGATGATTTTCGCTGAATCACACTATGGCGTAATCTTTATGCCTTACACTGAATAGCGGTTAAACTTGATTTTCTTTCGAAATGAAGAACTCGTGTTATTTTTTAAGAATATTTTTCTTCTTTTGCCGAAAAAGAAAAACGTCTTTTCTCCACTTATCCTTTCAAAACAGAATCTGTTTGCGTAAAAGGTTATTTTTTTTTAATTCTGTGACAATTTTTTATTTTTTTATTTTATTTTGTTGCTTCCTTGTCAAAATGTAGCAACTCCTTTTCATAGTTTTTATTGTAACAGCTTTTTTTCTTAATTTAAATGATATTATACAACGGAGATGTATGTCTTTTATACGTATTCAGTTCTGATACGCAGAAGTGACTTCGTTTTATTCTTTAGACATTGTCCTATTGTGCTATATGAGAACTTTGTATGAATACAAATCAACAAAACTAGTTGTAACAGTAAGTTGTTTCGTAAAAATATATCCATCTGTAGACTGATATATATATATATATATATATATATATAAGAGAGAGAAAGAGAGGGAGACCTGAAGAGAACGAGATAGACATAGACTCTTAGATAGAGAAATAAGAAAAGAACGCATAGCTAGCTAGCTACATAGATAGACAGACAGACAGGAAGATAACAAGATAGACAGATATGAACAGAGCGAGATAGATAGATAGATAGATAGATAGATAGATAGATAGATAGAGACGAACAAAGCGAGATAGATAGATAGAGACAAACAAAGCGAGATAGATAGATAGAGACGAACAAAGCGAGATAGGTAGATATGAATACAGCGAGATAGGTACACACATATGAACAGAGGGAAACAGATATGAACAGAATGAGATAGATAGATAGATAGATAGATAGATAGATAGATAGATAGATAGATGTGAACAAAGATAGATAGATAAATAGATAGATAGATAGATAGATAGATAGATAGATAGATAGATAGATAAAAACAGATCGAAATCGATAGATAGATAAATTGATATATAGATAGATAGACATAAAGAAACGGTGATAATTGTTATCTTGGCGATCTTCCTGCTTCTCTAAAGTGTTATCTCCTCTTTCTTTTATAGAGATATCCTCAGAAGGGGAGATAAGTAACACATTACACCTTACCTTATTGAGATAGTTACTAGATATTCAAATTCATTTTGCCTCTTTACGAAGTAGTTCGAAATTTCGCAGATTTTGAAGAAATGTTTTGTATAAATGGCGCACTAAAGTTTAGCATTCCCAGGAAGGAACGTAAATCTGTCAGATTTTTCTGATAGTTCAGCCTGTTGTAGAGTCGCTTCTTTGTTTGGATCAGGGCTCATAACATTAGCCGAAAATTTGACACCAGAAAAATCTTTATTATCAGAATCAAAAACGTATTCCCGCGTATTCAAAGTCAGTTCAGAGGTACGTAAGCTTTCAAAATCTTTTTCAAGTGCTGCATCATGCTTTTCGTCCTTCACAAAAACAAAAATAACGTCATGAATGTTAAACACACCCGGCATATCTGACTTCTTTTTTTTTTTTTTCATAATTCTTCGTGAAAAATTTCGCCAGCCCAATTCGTCCGAAGTTTAGCTTACAATAACGACGAAGTCTAACATGAGAAGAGAAAGCAGTAATATTTCGACTATCGGGGTGTAAACGCAAGTTAGGGAAAACTATTATTTAGGTCCAACTTTGAGAAACGACTTGATCCATTTAGCAGATGACGAACCTCCTCAAAGAAAGAAATAAAATGTCTTCCCCTTTTTATAGCTTTATTCGGTTGAACTATATCTATGCAGGTTATTTATTCCGTCATACAACCATATCTAATATCACCGTCCTTTTTAGGGATAATAACAATAGGTGAAACTCAATCAGTTGGTACATCTACATTCTTATGCCCGCAGCTTCAAGATGTTGTAATTCTGTCTCAACTTTTTTCTGTTCCGGGGGACGGAAAACGTCGATGAGGTTGAGAGACCGGTTTAACATTTTTGAGTGTAGTTTGACCTTTACACCCTTCATTTGGCCTATTCCATGAAAAATATCATCATATGTTTTTTTTAGCAATTTATCCATGTGAGCGGAGTTGCTAATCTTTTTAATAAATTTTAATACGTCAATATCTACTGCTGTTGGTGAACTAATTAAGGAGCCTTTACTACCTTCCACTACATAAAAATCAGCAACATTCAGCTTATGTGGAGATTCACTTGCTTTAAAGGTCCCTGATATTTTCAGGGGGTAATGGATAGCGGCTCGGATTGAGGAATCGAAGAGCCGAGTTCGAATTCCAGTCGGATTCATTACATTCATTTACGTGCTAATACACTTGGGAAAGGTATGGATACTCTACTTCTCCCCAACCCCCACCAGTTAGGGTAAATAGCAGAACAGACTGGGTTCTATAGTCTTGGATGGCAATTGGTCTACCGCAGAAAGAAATGGCGACATACTGCGAGAAAAATTCTGCCTCGTCAGTCATGTGAATAGGAGCATACTCATTATCGTCCGTAGGTACGCCACAACATTTTCCTTCCCAACCTTTTGTTTAAGGTACCGTTTAAAATCAATATCTTGATTTTATCATTATTTTTCCTTCTAGTTGCATGTACTATCCATTTTAGTTTTTGCTGCTGTTGGAAGTCTTCAACTGATATCGCTCATTGTTATTTGTTAGTTCTTTGTGGTTCTGTATCACCAGTTCATAAAATCTGATAGATAACAATCTTCTTTAAAACCTATATGTTCATTCGCTGGTAGCCATTTTTCGTCATATGAAAATATGTACTTAGGTGTGATTAAAAAAATCGGGACTGTTGATATGGTAACGGAACTGACGTACGCAGAGTGAAGCCGCTTGGCACAGATTGACCTTGAACACTATCGCGCTTGCACACGAAGTTATAACGCTCTCTCTCACTTCCGTTGTTTATAGCAGTGCTTGGAAGGAAAGTGTGTAGAGTGTTGTCGACTCCCACCCTACTGAAAACTTTTTTTTTTAAATCGTCATAACAGGTGACGAACGGTGTGTCTGTGTCTGTATGAAAGACTCCAACCTCTACGAGACTGAAGAAATCACGAATGAGTCGAAGCAATGTGAAGACAATGTTGATAGTTTTCTTCGACTACAAGAGCATTGAATATGCTTCTCCTGGTCAGACAGTAACATTAAGTGCTACCGTGATGTATTGCGGCGTTTGCGGGATGCTATTCGTCGGAAAGGTGCACAATTGCATGCGTCTTGTGAGCGGCAACTCCACCATGCCGCGCACCCGCCCATTCAGCGCCGCTTGTGCCACACCGTTTTAACCAAGACAGCATCGTCCTTGCATGGAGAATTGCTGCCATATATGGTCTGGAGCCCATTCCGTTTGCCTTGGGGTTCTTGATAAGATCCATAGACGGATATGCAATATAATTGGCCCTGATATTGCATCTCGTCTGCAGTCGCTCTCTCACAGACGTGCCGTCGCCTCTCTCTGTCTTTTTACAAATACTTTTATGGTAATTGCTCCGATGAGCTGCATTCGCTGGTTCCCAGACTTTATGAGTTCAAGCGCCCAACGAGGCTGGCATCCGGCTCTCACCCTTTTATGTTGAAACTTAAATGTAGCCGCCTCTTCTACTCCAATAGCTTCATATCTCGCACCTCTCGCCTGTGGAATTCCCTTCCCTATTCCTGTTTCCCTGATAGCTTTAATCTCCAACTATTCAAATGTAATGTCAATCGACATCTCCAGTTGCCTTGATCTATCCACTGGCCTTCTCCTCATCCTCTCCTCTATCATTCCTATCTGCTCTCGCTCCAAATCCTCTGTAACCTCTTGTGTCCTAGTGGCTTCCCGCCTTGCTAGGGATGAAAAAAAATCTCCAGGTCTGCCAACGACCATATTCTCCAGATATTGCCCCTTCCGATATTTTCCTCTTTCCAAAAATCAAATCCCACTTGAAAGGAACAAGATTTCAAGACGTCGACGTAATCAAAGAGAATGCGATAAGCCAGCAGCTCGCTATCCCCCAAAAAGGAGTTCCAGGAATGTTCCCATTAATGGAAACGCCGCTGGATAAAGTATGTGGTGTTCCAAGGGAACTTCTCCGGGATTATATGTCTTATGGTTTTATTTTTTAGTACGGATACTTTTTGATCAGACCTCGTACAACATAATATTTTAGTGAATTTAGTGCAATGACTCTGGGTTGATTAAATCGTTTTTACGGCTTATCAACCTGTCAAACAGGTTATTAAAAGCCAGAAAATATTTTTGGATCGTACATATTTTGGACCGGGGGTGGGAGGATAATATTGCTTTAATGATAAAAATCTTACTAATTAACCCATAGCTGAGCGGGGAAAAGGAACTTGGAACTTGGCTCTGCGATTTACAATTCTGGGCTATTATTCATTACTTCAACCACACATCCAAGGTTGCAGCACCAGGTAATCCCAAGTAGTCACCCATCTAGTTACTGACTCTTGCTTAACTTCGGTGATCGTACGAGTACAGGTGTTTCAACGCTATATGGCCGCAAAGCTCTTTAAGAATGTTCATATGTATCTTGACTAGACTAATATAGAAAGAAAGGGAGAGAAAGAAAGAAAGAAAGAAAGAAAGAAAGAGAATGAAAATTGCTACATATGAACTGACTAAAATAACTGCCTAGTTAGGCAAACGTATCCGAACAGACGATTTGTTTGTAAATGCTACTCGTGATATCATAAAATGCAGACTTCTGAAATGGCGGCCGAATAACATTTGGTTTGTGTTACTTTTTTTCCCCATAATCCAGGAGACATGTTTATCGGGCCCTAAAGAAACTCTACCCGACCCACGCCTGCAAGGAACACCGTCGTGTTTTTGACATGCTCGAGAAAGAAAACGTTTACTCTGAAAACCATGTCCCGCAACTGGAAGATGTCTCCAACTTCTTGAAAAGTAAGTTTTTTCTTCTTTTCCAGGAAACTGCAAAGAACACACTTGTAAATCGTTGTTACGTCTTAAAAATGAATTTTCCCTGATATGTCTATCGAGTACAATGAAATTACTAATATATGCATATATTTTTATTAAAAATCAAACCAAACAAAATTTTTCAAAACATCATGCAGCGTCTCACTAAATTTTAAACATTTTAGCATCCCGAATGTTTTTCTTACACCTATTTGAATATTATCTGTAACCTCATTACAGGTGACACGTATCTAACCAATAAGAAATAACCAAACAATATATCATTTATCTGCGTCAATTTGCTTGTTATCATTTCTATTTTTATCTCTGATGAAGCGAAACATGTTAGATTAAAATCTGTTTCCTACTTGTTCTTTATCCTATCATGTGTCTGTGTGTGTTTGTGTGTGTGTGTGTGTTTGTGTGTGTGTGTGTGTGTGTGTGTGTGTGATAATATAAGGAAAATTGGGAGACGTATATTAAGCTAACATGTTTCGCTTTTATTAAAGCTTCGTCAGATATTGAGGGAAAACAGACAGAAGATTGGTATTTTAAATTCTGTTTGGGTCAGTTCTCATTAGTCAGACACGTGTCACATGCATTAACGCCGTTGATAATTCTATATGTATATAAACTTGTAAAGATTCTTGTATATTTAAGTGGGCATCGAATGGTAATGTATATTCGTAATTTTGTATATGTGTCTGTCTAGTAGGAGTTCTAATGTCTCCACATCTGTGCAGTCAGCCGGCTCAGTGGGGTGGCATTCCACTCTAATCTGGAACAGATCTTTTTTAAGCACGTATTCTTTGTATTATATAGATATAAGTTAAATTCTTTAAAAATAGATTCAAAGAAAGATGGCGATGTAATGTAATGTTTTAGGTGTGTTTTTATCATTGGTAATAATGTTGTTATTAAGCTTTCAAAATATTTTCTCCTTAAATAATTGGTGATTCTTGAGAGCGTTTTCGTATCTGTACATGTATATGTATATACGTCTGCGTGAGAGAAACAAATCGTTACTTACTACTTCAAACCGAGCTCTCCGCCATGTTTCTGACCAGATAGAAATTGTGTGTGCGTTTGCTTCCTTTTTTATGGAAGAGCGCACATTGCAGGTGAACCGGAAGCTCTCTGGGAGTGGGCTATAAATTGCAAAGGGGAGACGCAGTGTGTAGTTATAAAGATGGAAAAACTGTAGCTAACGGAAGGTACACAAGTCGATATCCGATCAATATCGGCTGGGTCACCGAGAAGATGGGGTATTATTTTGAAAGACCCGAAACCCCTAATGAACCTCGGCTAGAAACATCACTGATGATGTGTACTAAAGCATTAAGTAGATGTATTTTATGAAATGTTCTTTTTAATTAGGGATTCTTAAATTCTTAAATGTGTGTATACGTGTGTGTGTTAAAAGTTTTGGTAGCTTATATATATTAAAAAATAGCGTATGGTAACTGCCTTAGTATCTTTCCCAAAATGCAGTGTAACTCATACCCTATTATACCATCACAGGAACCAGATGCAGGATTGACGGGAAGTTAACTCCTGGGTGACGAATGCGGAATCACATTACTCGTGCAAAATAGAGATCTATAAACAACCCTCTCCTTCACAGAGGAGTGGCCAGTCACTCAGACGCCGCAGGAGAGAGTGTCAGGTCCACGTCCAGATGAGGGCTCCGTTGGGGAGAAGGGGTGTGTTGCCGAAAGTAATTGGAGGAATATTCGAAGGAAACAAAATGTAAAGAAAAGATTCGTATCTCGTCTGATCATTTTGTTGATAGTTCATTATGTTGTGCATAAAAATGAGCGATTTTCTCTACTCTAATTGTTGAACTTAGAATCGTCCATTCGCTATTCTTGAGTCGCACGCATTGCCGCACTGAACTACGGTATTCGCTATTATTGTATTATTAATCCATTTCCCACACTTGATCAAACCTTTTCTTCACTAAGCTTTCGTTCCAGTATTTCCTTGTAACAAACTTAGTTTACACGCGCATTATAACATAATGCACCCCCCACCCCAAAAAAAACAGTTTCATCCAAAGCTTTTTCTTTTCTTTATTAATTATCTTTCATTTAAACTAATCTCTTTCGCATTTCTCTGTTTCATTAAGTTGTGTAGTTGTTATATCGGAAGGGATCAGAATTGTTGAACTTAGAATCGCCCATTCGCTATGAGTGGAACGTCTACTCATAGGAACGGGGTTGCAAGGCGTAGCGTTGAGTCGCACGCATTGCCGCACTGAACTACGTTATTCGCTATTAAACCTTTTCTTAACTAAGCTTTCGTTCCAGTATTTTCTTACTAGAAACTATGCGTTTATACGAGCATTATAACACATTGCAAAAAAAAAAAAAAAAACAGTTCCAGTCAAAGCTTTTTTTCTTTTTCAATTATCTTTCAATTAAACAAATCTCTTTCTCATTTCTTTCTTTCATGGCGACGTCTACAGTAAAAACAGGCTTCCAGTTGCGCCCTGTTGCTGGACTACTGTCAGCACGTGACTTTTTGGCCAGTTTAGCTTTCCGGGTATTCCAGTGTACCCAGTACGTACGTCACAGTTCAAAACCTGACCACTCACCTGAACCGTAAGTAGGCAATTATTGAAAAGGTCGGTCACAGAGTCTAGTATCAATGTGCTAAACAATTCCTTAATTCCCAATATTTAATTAATGAATTAGATATCTAAATAATCAATTAAGTTTCATTATCTAAATCAGTTGTACTCAGCCATTTTGCCGATGCACCTTTTTCATCAAGTCAGAATGCCATCCCCACCAATTTTCCAAGACTGTCCGACTCAAAAGGAGCATTCCAAATAATATGCATATTTTATTGAAAATCTTCATTGTTTTCCATATTAGTACACAGATATTTCCGTTCGTTATTTTTATAGAGGAGGTTTGCAGATTTAATAGCGATATAAAATGTTGATGGATTTTTAAACTTAAATACATGTACAATAATTTGTTTTAATTCATAACTAATTATTAAATAAATACACTGAAGCATTCTTCAATAGAAAAAATGTTCAACAGAATGCCAGTGTAGTCTAATTTAATAAACAAATGGTGTAAACGCAAAAAAAAAAGTAAAAGAAAAAGATATCTTCCTTTCTAAATCCCTGAAATTTCAAGCCTTTGATGCCCTGGTCTAAATCCCTCCTGAGAACTGATCTAAATAACCTATTACGATTCAAGAGATAAATATGTACATAAACATGGCCACCATTTTTTAATCCATCTTTCGAAGCTTTCACCTCCTTTATCGTCCCTTTCTTTTTTTTCTCCACTTTTTCTTTCTTTCTTTCTTTCTTTCTTTCTTTCTTTCTTTCTTTCTTTCTTTCTTTCTCCTCTCCTTCTAATCCTTTCTTTCTTTCTTTCTTTCTTTCACTAAAACCAAACAGTGCGTTCCATATAACTTTTCTTCATTTATCTTAAGTAACGGCAGGGCATAACTTACGCGCTAACAAACTAACAAAAGATCAGGCAGAATTATACTACGGTGTTAATACCATCGTCAGAATTTCTCCTTTTTATCTCTTTATTTTGTTCAGGGATTGCATTCATGAACTCCTCGGTCATGTCCCGATGCTAGCTGACCCTGACTTTGCGGAGTTCTCCCAGGAGATTGGACTGGCATCGTTAGGTTCCTCTGACGAAGACATTGAAAAGTTTGCTACGGTAAATATCTATCTATCTATCTATCTATCTATCTATCTATCTATCTAAATGAATACAACCATGGAGCAAGAACATACACTGAGGACTGAACTTCAGCAATACTTTGCGAGACAAGCTTGTTATGCATCGTCCAACGGTGGGTATTCACAGGAAATTAGTTTACCTCTGCTGCCAAAAATGACGACAAATTTTGTAAGTTTGTAAGTTTATTTTTATGTAAGTCTTTCTCTCTCTCTCTCTCTCTCTCTATCTCTCTATCTATCTATCTATCTATCTATATCTATATATATATATATATATATATACATATATGTACGATGTGAACGAATAAAGCACAATTGTAACTTTCGTAACATTTAATTTAAAGTAGAGCAATATTTCTTTAGGATATTGGACTGAAAACATGTCAAAATCGCTACACAGTGCAGTTGTGTTTCGATGCGTATCAACACATATCACCAGTCGATCGCCTGATGAGATGCACTGACAGGCATCGAAACACGACTGCAATTGTAAGCCGATTTTGATATGTTTTCAGTGTAATATCCTAATTTATATATATATATATATATATGTGTGTGTGTGTGTGTGTGTGTGTGTGTGTGTGTGCATATATATATATATATATATATATATATATATATATACCATAAATCAAGAAAACACCTAACGATCCAATTCAGTTATAATTTATTCCTTGTATATTTTTATATTCTTGAGTTACTATCATATTGCTCTGTAATTTACATTGAACTCTCTTTGGATAGAAAACTAATCACCCAGTTTGTTTCTATCGGAATCATGCGTTAATTTTATATTAATTTCATATTGATTCGAGTTTACTCCTGTCGTAAAAATGACAGTATATTTTCTTAAGTTCTTATTAACATTGAAAGATTTCCCCATGTGAGTCAGTATATTTATATGATTATTATATTATAGGGGATCAGATTATTACTTAAAAACAATAGAAACCAATCCCCCAAATTATGCCCATTAGAATTTTATATTCACACAAGTTTAGTTCTGTTGGTAAAAATGACGGTATGTCAGTCCTTATAATCATTGGAAGGATTCATCATGCGAGTCATGTTTTTAAATGCTAAATTATGATGGGGGTCAGTTTACTACTTAATAACAATGGAGAAACGACCCCCACTTTATGACCAGTAGAAAGTAGAATCTCATATTTATAAGAGTTTATACATGCATAGAATCTAACGGCAACTATTTTTAGTCCATAATAATTAGAACTTTTCCGCGTTTATTGTATTATCATAGGGGATCATTTCATTGACTCAGCAACAGTAGAAAATTAAACCCCTACTTGATGTTCATTTGAATCCTATATAGGCTTCTAGTGGACATATACATATATATATATATATAAAAGAAATATGTTGTAGTGGTTCCAACGAGAGAAAAGTATGTATATTAAAAAGAAGAGGGGTGCCGCAAACGTTTTTTGGTTGTAATGTGGATTTATTGAGAAAAAATATTATACTTTGTTTTACATAATTTCACGACACGTGTTTCTGGTCTGGTCTCATTTCTTCAGGTGAAAGTGGAGATTTTTACATATTATTAAAATAATTAATTTTTCTTCATGTTCAATGTGGAATATTCTCGATATGAGACATTCTGTTTGTGTGTTGGCAATCCGAATTTTCTTTCTAGAATTGTCAATGAAGAGTTCTGCGTGAAGGGTCATAAAACAATTAAGGTTTGTCCAGCGAGTAGTTATCGGCATTTAATCTTTTAATGTTTTAGTGACCTCTATGTGCTCTTGGATCTGTTTCTATTTTGGCGTGTTCCTGTCAGCATGCGTGTATATATGCGTGCGTATATTTCCTTACTACGAGGAATTCGTAAACTTATTTGTACCTATACACGCATACACACACATACACACTATCCCACCACAAGTAGTCAGTACACACACACATATACACATACTAATTCGGATTGCCAACACACAAACAGAATGTCTCATATCGAGAATATTCCACATTGAACATGAAGAAAAAATTAATTATTTTTAATAATATGTAAAAATCTCCACTTTCACCTGAAGACGGTTTGAGACCAGACCAGAAACACGTGTCGTGAAATTATATAAAACAAAGTATAATATTTTTTCAATAAATCCACATTACAACCAAAAACGTTTGCAGCACCCCTCTTCTTTTTTAATATATATATATATATATATATATATATATATATATATATATGTGTACATTGTTACATTATGTTTGAAGCTTAGAATCGAGAGAAATAATCACCATATTTCGTACATACGCACACATGTACACGTGCACAAAAACTGGCACACAAACACAGACGAAGAGGAAAAGCAACCTAACACCAGTCACATGACCTCTCAACTATGCAATAAATTAAATTAATAAAATCAAACTTAGTATAAAAATAACAAAAAATGAGAAAAAGCCATTATTTGCTGAAACCTTCTGACGAGTGGATTGAACAATTACAAACAGTTTCTTCTACAAAACTCCGGAATTGAAGCGCTGAATGTAATATCAATCAGGTAAATGATAAAATTATATTTGTATTAATCATTCTTGTCCCTCAATTTATATATATATATATATATATATATATATATATATATATATATATGTGTGTGTGTGTGTGTGTGTGTGTGTGTGTGTGTATTCATGCAGCAATCCTTCTTTCATGCATGTTCCATTGAATATGACAGACAATGTGCTTTGATTGACTTTTTATATACAACGAATATATATATATATTTCTCATGTGATCTTACAACTTTTTTCTTTTCGGTAGATAAATTATATAAAAAATGTCCAAGTGTTCTTTCTTTCCGAGCGCTTTCGGCTATACATTTAGCCATTTTCAAGGTTGAAATATATCAACTGTTAACAAGAAATAGATTGTTGTATATATCGATTTATATAATTTTTTCATTTTTCAAAACACGGTCAAGATATTGTGTCCATGTTCATAGTTGATATTATTGAGTGTTGTTTTATTTGTTTTTATTAATAAAGCTTCCATTATTTTTAGCCTTTTTTTTAACATGTAAACGATGCTATTATATTTGTGTTATCAACAAGTATGTTACGAATAGGGTGAAGTAGGACTCCATGAGTATTTAAATAAGACATAATTGGGCTATGATCAGAAAAATGTAATGTGAGTTTTCTTGTCTTGTTTTCTATATAATTTTTTACGAATTATAAGATCGTATGAGAAATTGTATAAAAAACTAAATCAAAGCACTTTGTCTATCTTATTCAATAAAACGTGCATATATATATATATATATATATATATATATATATATATATATATAGCAAACTGTCATTCACACAAACACACATACACATACACACACACACACACATATATATATATCACGTTTCTCGTCTAAGCTCTATTAAACAATATTTCTTATAAAAAACATATCCATGTATATAATATTATACAAATACTAGTTGATAACACAATAATACCTTCAGATATTAGAGGCCATCTACATTAAAACAAAGCAACCCACACTCAACGAAATTATATTTCAAACTAGTCGCAACACATTATATTGCATCTAGACATTGGTTCTGTTGTAATACTGCAGTCTATCGGGTGGTATGACGTTATAAAAGCGCATCCTGAACTTAAGATCTGCGTTTGCTATTCCGTTATCGTCGCATAGCAATTTTCGATGTCAAAAGAACAAAATATCATCTTTGACGGTGGATATCTTTGTTTCATGTCTCTAGAACTACTCTGAGGATGGCTCATGTAAGCCGAAAGCTTAGGACCAACTTAATAAAAAAAATATCCAATTTTTGTCGTTATTTTCACCAGAAATTAAAGCAAGTATTTGAACATTAGAATGGCTCATGATCAGACATAATAGACACTGACTGTCTGTTATATTTAATAATTTATGTTTAAATATATATATATATATATATATATATATATATATAATATAAATTTCAGATGAATTCAGTGGACAAGACAGATTGGTATAATTTTATACCAATCTGTCTTGTCCACAGAATTCATCTGAAATTTAACTATATTGTCGACATGGAAAAAAATAATAATAATCCCTTACTATAAAAGTAGATTACATTAACCAGAAAAAGCCTTAGACACAAGCGTCTATATTTTTAAATTTGTATTTTTTTAATGTAACTATAACAACAAAAACATTTCGATTTCATTTTTGCCTTGAAAAAGTCAGAAGACGAAACGCGTCGGCAAAATCTAAGATTTTTTCCAATTGTCATTTTATACCATATATATATATATATATATATATATATATATATATATATATATGAGCGTTTACTTCTATCGTAAAAAAATGAAGTTCTTACGATAAAGTTTTCACAAGTGTCATTATTTTTCAATTATTACATGAGAAGTTAATGGACTTTAACATAACATGCGCGCCACTACGTTTATCAATTATTAATATGCTGGGATGACATAATATATTTTCTGTTTATACATTATTTTTATCGGCCTGAATATATTAAAATATTTGTCGGATTTAATCCACTACATATAACATGTTGTCATTGTTTCGGAACAGAAATGAATTATCGAGAAAGGTTTTGAATGTGTGTGTTTATAACCAATAACTTGAGCTTTGCCGGAAGTCTTCTGTGGCATTATCGGTTAATATCCCGACAGGCTAAATGACGGTTTCCACATAGGATACAGGTTCGATTTCTGTTGGGAGACGCATATTATCTGCGAAATTTCTCGAATATTCAGGCGGGTAAATGTAATTAATTCTGTTTAATTTAAAAAATAAATAAATTAAAAAACCCAAAACAGAGCATTTACTCAAATATCCATAAAAGTAACGTATGAACAGAAAATATATTAAAATGCTTGTCGATTTAATCCATTACATATAATATGATCAAGATATAGTTTTAAGGTATGGTATATTTATGGGTTAAAGTGCTCGGTATTAATGCTCGGTGAGAGTTTCCTGCTTACACACAATCGTCAGGCCTTGACGATTGCGTTTAAGGCAC